CACTCATGATTGCATCTACAGGATGTGAATTCTGATGTTTCCATCGTTTAGGTGTAAAGTCCTTCACTGGATACAATCTTTCCTGATCATTGTTGAGTGGTTCTTCTGTAGGAACTTGTTCTTGAGCCTTAGTTGGAACCTCAACAGGATTCTCCTCATTCTGATTTTGATCTTATTCTTGAGCAGGAGTTCTTGGAGCATTCTCCGTTTTTGGTTCTTCATTTGCTTCCAGATTCGTTTGTTCACCAATTTCCACTTGCTGCTTCTGCAATGATGTTGATTTTTCATCTGGATCTGTCTTGCGGACAAGTCCAGTTTCGAAATCATTATCACACTCCTGTACATCATTTAGAGATTGTTCAGTTTCATCAAATATAATATGTACAGATTCCTCAACACACATTTTCCTTTTATTATAAACTCTATATGCTTTACTATTAGAGGCATATCCTAAGAATACAGCCTCATCACTACGTTCATCAAACTTTCCCAAGTTCCTTTTACCATTGTTATGAACAAAACATTTACAACCAAAATATCTAAAGTAAGAAATATTAGGTTTTCTCCCTTTGATCAACTCATAAGGAGTTTTGTTGGTGATGGCTCTAACTGACACTCTGTTAAGAATATAGCATGCCGTATTCACTGCTTCTGCCCAGAAGTTCCTAGGCAAGCCACTTGAGACCAACATTGTTCTAGCCATGTCTTCAAGGCTTCTGTTCTTGCGTTCCACCACTCCATTTTGTTGAGGGGTCCTAGGGGCAGAGAAGTTGTGATCCATTCCATGTTCAGTGCAAAATTCATCAAATTTTGAATTTTCAAATTCAGTGCCATGGTCTGATCTAAGGTGTATCAATGGATTGCCTGTTCTTCTCTGTTCTTTCTTTAAAAAAGCTACAAATTCATCAAACGTTTCATCTTTACTCACAAGAAAGAAAACCCAAGTAAACCTTGAAAAGTCATCAACAATAACCATAACATAACAATAACTTGATAAATCTTGGACTTCCTCTCATATCGATCCCTTAATAACCAAACCAAATTTAATTAGCTCGACCTTGGACGTTAAATTAACGGTCATAAAATATGATCAAACTCCAATGTCTTCGTAGTGGTCTAATAAGCTTTGAAATTGTTACAATTCTTCAAATTCGTACAAAATAATATCAACTCTACAAAAACATTAGAAAACGTATATTAGTAATAAAAATAGCTTCGCAGAACACAAATAAGCACAAATATGACTGTGGGACAGGGAATAAAATATATATATATATAATAGACTTATTAAACTCCCCCAAGCCAAAGCTTTTCTTGTCCCTAAGCAAAGCAATGAATAAATAAATCAAACGTCACCCAAAAAACGAATAAAATCAATAAATATAATTCAAGGTAAATCTGACAAATCAAAGTCAATCAATCAAATCCGTCCAACTACCAATCTTCCCTAACAATTGTCAAATAGAGCAAACCACAAGAACATATAGAAATAAAGACTAGTGCTCACACACTCGACTTTCATTTATGTGGCGAGTAAAAGATGTACTCGATTGCTCTCCATCAACCCCTTTTATGTGAACTATGCCCTCCCAAACTCACAACACTCGTGGGTTTAAAGAGATAAGCACTTAACCTAAATAGTCGACTCGTAATATATCAAGTCATTCTTCGCATTAGTAAACAACACTTTCACATTCGCACGACTCTATGCACAAAGGTCGGAAGATCTTTAAAGCTTGTCATGTAAGACTAGGGTAAAGGGTAGGAAATATTTGGGAAATGTGAGAGAAAAGACATGCTTAAAGCTAAGGAGCTAAATCCTAGTAAAACCCAAGATCAAAAATAAATAATGACCAACCATCTCCAACATAACTCAACTCAACAAAGATTCACCAAGCAACCAAACTGGTATCTCACAAAATTACCATCACTTACAAATCACTCATAAAGATATGATAATATAGAACTAGAGTGAATAAACAAACTTTGAACTCATTCTTTTTTTTTTTTTCAAATTTGATTTTTTCTTTTTTTTTTTCTTTTGAATTCTCTCTTTTTTTTCTTTTTTTTTTCTTGAGCAACCTTCATATAAAAGATTTGAACATTGAAAAAAAAATATTTTTTCTTTTGCTCTTTTTTTTTCCATTTTAAGTTCACTTATTTTTTTTCTTGAACTTCTCTTTTTTTCTTATCATCATACTCTATTTTTTCAAGAAGATAAAACATTCAAACTCATCAAAAATAAACTACGATCAAAAATAAAATAACTTCTCAAAACCCACCCAAATTGTGTAAATAATAAGCACACTACAAACTCCCTCACCTCACTCACTAATAGCTCCCCCAAGCCATGTTTAGGACTAGTAACCAATGGGGCAAAATAGGCTTGTAATGTGGTTTATAAACAGCAAAAAGTCAAGGCATCAACATGGGTAGCAAGAAGGGAACAAATGTATCTAAAATCATCTGAAAGCCACCTAAAAGAACAAATGCCTTCGTCCTCCACAATGTGCATAATAATGAGACATGAAACACTACTCATATTTACAAATAAATACTCAAATTCATTGACATACCAGGAGCTAACACACATTCGTAACCAAATCAACTAGTCAAGCCCTATATTCACAAGCAGTTGGACAAAATTAACGCGTGTTAAGGTTTCAAGGCAATCAAACATCAAATCATGATCAAATCCTGACGAGGCAGTAAGCCCTCAAAAGAGGGTGACCCGTCCTCGTGAGGAGGTTCGGGAGCAACGCGTCGCAGCTGATCAACGTCGCTAGGAGGATGTGGTTTGGGAGGCTCCTCCCAACTAGGACCCTAGGGTCTTTTAGTGGGACCTAGACTATCATGTTTTTATCAGAGGGTGGCGCGACATCGTGAGTTATTTGCGACTTTGTTTTTCTTTTTTTTCCTTTTTAAACCATAACTGTTTTTTTTATTCTTTTTACTTTTCCTCAAAGTGAGCCTAGCATGCTTCTATACGGCTCTGGTGACCTGCGAGCCCGTTTTGCAAGTTTACTTAAGGTGGCAAAGGAAATTGTGGAGCTTTTGGGGATCAGCCCCCCAACTAGCGGCTCTTCGGGATTTATCGAGTTAGCCTACGTCGTCAGCTTTCCTTTGTGGTTGCGGGAGTTTTTGTGGGATTCCACTAACACTTTTAACTTTCCATGGGGAGAGATGACGGTTACCCCTTTCGATTTCTCTATGATTACGGGTTTTTCTTTTGAAGGCGAGCTCGTGCCACAGATATCGTTAAGGGGTCAGACAAGAGAATGCGTGACCTTATGGGGGACCGTCTTGCGGTGGCCCTTCACATGTACGCGTATTCTTGTCCTTACTCGGTTCTTGCTGATGAGTTGTCAACCGACGAGTTTAATCGGCAGTGTACACCTAAGCAGTTGGCTCGAATATACATTGCTCATGTTCTTTCCGTCACTATCTTGAGTGATCGGGGAGAACATTTTGCTATCTGGTTACTTATTTGCCTTAGTAATTTGGGTAAAGTAGGTAACCTGAGTTGGGCGGAGGTGTCATATGCCCGTATGCTTACAGCTATGGGCAAGGCGACCCGGGTGATGGATTTCGCGACAGCTATTGAGGTGCCTTGGATCTCCCTTATGTGGCACGGTCGTGTCCATGAGGTACTTAATTTAAGTTTCTTTCAACCATTATTTTTGCTTTTCCCCTTTAAGTTTATAATTTTTAGGTTTTCTTTTAGGCTTGCGGATACTCGTATCTGCCTTTCTTAGCCCCCAAGATGCTTAGGGCTGCTCGTTTTCTTATTAACTAGTCACGATTAAGAAGAGACGAGCCACTTCAGCCGGCACTTTCGCCAGAGGATCCTTTCCGCAACTCGTGCGTCGGTGAGTATTTCGAACATATGTGCGTCTTTTGATTTTTTTTGTTTATTTTATAATGATTTTTCATGTGGCCGTGTTTATAGATCGATCTCCGTCCTTGGAGTTTGATCGTCGGAGTCCCTGAAGCTATCCGGCCTGGCATGTTTCGTTGCCGTTTTTGGACCCTTTATCAGGGACTTCCAGACTTCTAGAGGAAAGACGCTTGGTTTTTAGGCAAGCGTGTTCTCTGGCAGTCTGCATTCGAGGAGCCTTGGGTTCCTGCGGATCCTTCGATCAGGATGTTACATCCGGATTTGTTGTCTACCGAGGATCGATCTCAGGCGATCCTTGGTTATCTAGCGGAGCAGCTGGTGCTGCCAGATGCATCTTATCCGACTTTCATTGCATCCAGCTGACTCCTTTCCCAGATTTTGTTCCTGTTAGTATTTTAACTCTCTCTTGTTATTTATATTTATTTTTTCGAAACCTTAACCCTTTTATTGTATTTTTGGCGGATTGAGCTAGGTGGTTGGGTGGCTCCTACTCTGGAGATCACGTATACTGATGTTGTTGGGTCGATAATTCGTGATATCCCCTTCAATCAGCGGAGGATGAGGAGGGGATACCGTTTGTTCCTGAGAAGGTTAAGTCAATATGTTCCTTTTGTATATGTATTTATATGTTTTTTTCATATACATTTGTTTGCTAACTGTCCTTGTATTTTGAAACAGGTTCCGCGAGTGACCGTGAACGACATGGTGTGGACTTTGCGCGCTTCCTGAGCTACTTATCGGAGAGCCCTCATCACTTTGTCATGACGTAATCATCGGATGGCCGCGGTAGTTTTTTATTTTATTTATTTTTTTTAACGAAGTTATCACAGATTTTATGTATTAATCTTTGTTTGGATTTAGAAGGATGTGCAGCAGCCGTCTGGGAGTTGCTGAGCATCTTGACCTCCTTTGTATACATTTTCTTTTATTAGGAAACAAATGTACATTTTATTATTTTTTTGTTGTACATATGACACATTTTTGGAATATATATATGACATTATTAATTTCTTTTGTTTCCATGCGTACTTTTTTTTTAATTAAAAAAATTAAAAAAAATTATGAGGGAGGGAAGGGTTCCCGACTTACCCCCCTCGAAAAAAACAAAAAGAGAAACAAAAAAAAAGAAAGTAAAGAGGAAAGAAACACTAGTGGAAAAAATTCCATTTGTAACGCCTTATTCGTAACCTGCAGTAATTTGCCCGTTACAATAAACCTATTCGTAACAGGCAAAATATTGGTCCATTACGAATAATACATTATTTGTAATAGGCATCATTTTGCCCGTTACGAATACTATTTTTCGTAAAGGACTATTATTTTTCCCGTTACAAATACTTTGTTGTTTGTAACGGGCACCAATTGCCTGATACAAATAGGTTATATGGTAAAAACCCCTAGATGTCTAACTTCATTTTTCAGCAGCCGACCTAGCCGTCACTCACATCTCTCTCCTCTCTCTCTTCCCTCTCTTTCTCTCTCCTCAGGTTTCAATGCCGGTTTTCATTGAATATAAAACAAACATTCAGATTTCCATTTAAATACAAAATCATCACTACAAAACCCTTATTTCCCAAATCCATCCTTAAATTGCAAACCCTAATAAAAATCAATCAAACTTAATCTCAAGCCCTTTCACCACGAATCCGACGAGCAAGATGAATATCCTTAAGCATAATAGTAACCCTCTTAGCATGAATAGCGCAAAGGTTAGTATCCTCAAACAAACCTACCATCAGCAGCCTCCTGAAGAGCGGCAACGGTGGAGCTTTGGAAGCGAAGATTGGTCTTGAAATCCTGAGCAATTTCTCCTACAAGCCTCTGAAATGGAATTACTATTAATGGGATTACAATCCTGAGCAACATTGTTCTTGGTAATTTCCCCCTTTTTTGGGTTTTTGATTTGACGACTTGATTTTTTTTTTTTTTTGTATTTTTGTATTTTTGCAATTTTGATTATGATTTTGTTATTCTTTTGAGTTGTGATTAGGTGAGAAGGGAAGAAGGATTCGGGAGCTGAGTTGATTTTGCAGAAGAGGCTTAATTTTCCTTGAAATTTGATGATTATATTGATGGGTCTGTTTCTTCGCCTATTTTGAATAAGTTGGCTCCAAATTCCTAGTAATTTATCTCATTATCCGTCATCTTTGTTGATTATAATGTTATGATTTTGTTGTTTTCTGATTGAAGGGTTTTAATTGTTAGTTTGACTTTGCTATAATTTGATATGGACAAGTGATGTGGGAAACGACAATGTTCTTGTTTTTTTTTTTTTTTTTTGCAAGTTTACTTTGAGATTTGCTATAATTTGAGATGAACAAGCTTAGGACAGTAGGAAGATCAGATTGAATATGGGTCATTGGTTGGCTATTGTAGACTTTTGTATGTGGCACTGGGAATGGAGATTGCGGCAATACCAATGTTTGATCACAAATTGAGAAATAAAATTATATTTAGAAGCTCTCAAAATGTTCGTGCTTTTTTATTCATTTCACGCATGAATTGGGGTTTTTAAAGTTCACTATTCAATTCAAGGGATTAATTTTCATTTTAAGTTTGGAATCAACCAAAAAAAATTTAAGTTTGGAATTAACAAAATTTTTATATGAGCTTGCTTTGCTAAACAGGTACTATAGAAGACCCCCATTGTGTTATTGTAAAGGAAAATGGAGGATGAAGTATAACAACTGAGTCAATTAGTAGGTACAGAGTTTTCTATATTCAACCTTTTTTTTTTTCTTTAATAAAGGCTTTGTTGTTGTTGGTGTTATTGGGATATGAATATGCAAGACTGTTATGCATCTTCTAGTGTCCCTTTCCAAGTTTCGAGTGTCTCTTTTTCTATGGGAATTAAATTCTCCTATTGCTATAATTTTTATGCCAATTTAGATTTATGTATGGGATTTCTAGGGAAGGGAGAAGGTCCATCCGTCCATGTGACTTAGACAGACAGGGCACAGGGTCATTGAAGCTTTGAGTTGACCCTTTGGGATTGGTGGTAGAATTGTGAGCTCTATGGAGTTTTGTTTTTTTAACAGTTTAAAAATGATGAATACACCCAGCTATGGATTGTTGCATTATATTATAATGTCATTGGGTTTGATTCAATAATTTTCAATTTTAAATTCGAGTCCATTCATGTTGTTTTACCACCAGATTGAAGGTTTTATAGAAATTCTGTGTGCATATCCCAAAGTGTTCCACTATAGTTACTAGTTAGATAATGATGCAGCTACTCTTTTACGGATTGTCAATGAGCTATCTTCATAGTAGTTAGTTGTTTCAGCTATTGCATCTTCTAGGGATTTTCAATACACTATATTCTAACATGTAAAGAACTTGAGCCAGACCTTTATATATTTTTACTTTAGAGTCTGAAGTATTAGTGAATAATATTGTGGTTGGATTAGTGGATTACTATGTAAAGGTCGTTCTAGCTATATAAGAAACCCCTGATTCAATTGTCCTTAGAAGTTAGACATGCAAGGACAACCACATAGCCTATTTGGGAACATTGATGCTCATATAGCACCTGTAAAGTGTAAATGGGTGTATTAGAGGCATGGCTTGAAATTCTTATTTAATCATGGAGGATGTAGAAAAGGCTTTAGTGGTCAATACCTGTTAACATGGCTCAAGTATTCTTATATACTCCTATTTTCAATAGTTATGAAGTATGTGATTCTGATGTGTGTTAGTAATTCACACGCTATAGTTATGGACGTTTCTTACATTTTAGAGCTTTTGAGATATTCGCTCTAGCATTTTTCTTTCTGGTTTTCATTTGTTTCACTTTGACAAGTTTTTAATTGTGACAGACTTTGCAACGTATTGTAGGCGTCGTTTGAAGTGCGCCTACGTTAAAAGCATGTGGTGAATATGCATGACACTCATAGGAAGTGGGAATTTACATTACGATTAGGGACAACGATTAGGGACAAATAAAGTAGGGAGCCGCCAACAAGTTTTTAAGGAATTTGTAAACCGTTCACGGATCATAAAAGGTAACCACGAATAAGGGACAACGAAGGCAACAACGATTGACCCGTGAAGGTTACACCCCATTCATAATCCATGAGATTACTAACTCCATATGGTTCGGAACCACGAAAGGAGGATCGGGGATGATGGTACGAAGTGAGTGATGGAGTCACATTCGCCCTATTGGCCTCTACTCGATTCTTATAGTGAAAAGCATTCCTGTGATCTCAAAGGCATACAAACAAAATATTCAATTCGCTCCAAACTATTATTTAACTAAATTGGTTGAATATTAATGCACACATAACTCTAAAATATTAGTGATCACTTGATTAAACAACAAGATTAAAAAGGATCCTAAACTAGTTGTCTAAATTATCTTATTAGGCGTGATTTTCAATTACATATTCCCTTTAAACATGCAATATGGTGATCAATAAATATAGTAGAACATACATTAATATTGGAAGCAATTTAATCACAATTCCAACAACATAAAATCGTTAGAAAAATAATAGAAATAAAAGGAACATGATCCTTACTTTGATTCAGTTTGTTTGCAAATACAAAATAATAAGCGAGTTAGTAACTTCAAGGAAATAATAAAATGATGATTAAATTAAATTAAATAAAGTAAGGTTGATTTGGGGCCAAACCCTCAAACAATTCTACCTTTCACGCCTTGACTTAAGGATGGAACCACGAGTGAAGTATGGACTCCTTTGAGTACTTGAAGAAGGAATTTTAAAGTGAAAAGAGTAGGCTAGTGTTTAGGCTAAAGCATAGAAGAGAGAAAAATAAATCAGAGAATTACTCGGTGCCCCGTACATCAGAAATGAGGGGGTATTTATAGGGAAAATGTGCTGAGGGAGCACACGGAACCCTAAAATGATAAAAACCCTAAAAAAGTATCCCGTGACACGGCAAACTGTACCGTGACACGGGAAGTTTTACCATCAGACGACACACTTTCCCGTGACATGGTACATTGTTGGTGTGATGCGGGAAATTTTCAGAAAACGGGAAAGAAAACGCGTTAAGGGTTTACGCGGAAAAGACACGGAATGTCTCGTGTCACGGCAGACCTCCCGTGTCACGGGAAATCCCAAGGATTCCCGTGACAAGGTGGCAGTCTGCCGTGGCGCGGGAATTTCCAGTCTATTTTTCGTCTAAATACATTTTTAACCCTAATTTCATTCGGCATTTTAAGTGCCGATTGATAATTTCGGGTCTGGCATTTTAATTCCACAGATAAAAGAGTAAAGGGATAGAATACGTATCTGGCACCAGTGTATCGGTGACAAATGAATTTGGCAGCTTCCTAAGCTTGAAGGAGAACTTGGTATAAGTTTGTGAGGTGGAATTGGGCTAGATTCTAGATAATCAGTGTTAGTAGAATATGGTTGCTAATCTGCTGCATACAGGTAAAGGATATATCCGAGAAGATCTGGAGTGCAGCCATTACCGAGTGACATTTGTTGAAACGCTTTCCATGCTTGAGGAAAGCCGACTGAAGAATTTGGTACCTTTCTAAGCCTGAAGAAAGCTACTAGATAATACTTTCCATGCCTGAGGAAAGTCGACGAACGAATTCGGTGTCATTCTATGCTTGAAGAAGTCCACCGATAATGCCTTCCATGCTTGAGGAAAGCCGACAAAAGAATTTAGCGGTTTTCTATACTTGAAGAAAAATCCACCGATAACGCTTTCCATGCTTGAGGAAAGTCGACTTGGCGGTTTTCTATACTTGAAGAAAAATCCACCGATAACGCTTTCCATGCTTGAGGAAAGCCGACTTGGCGGTTTTCTATACTTGAAGAAAAATCCACCGATAACGCCTTCCATGCTTGAGGAAAGCCGACGATTGCTGAAATTTGTAAGTGTATGATGGTTCGATTATCCCCGAACGTGGGCCGCAGATGATTCGCACCTTTAAGTCGATTATTCGACCATGCCAAAAAATAGACTTTGATGTTTGCTAGGGGTAAAATGGTAATTTTAGTCCCCTTTAAGTATCAATTACAATTTTCCGCGTAATTCCAGCAAAAAATAACTTTCCAATTTATGCAAAAAATCGTGCAACCTTAGTCAAAATGTCAGGAATATTCGCAAATAATTGTCCAAAGCCACCATGTCACGAAAAAATATTCCCCTGACACGGTACAGATCCCCGTCACACGGAGCTGCTTCCCGTGACGCGGCAAGGGGATCCCGTGGCGCGGGAATCAAGTAGCTGAAAAACGGTCAAAAAACATCTTTGACCGGTCAAAGCTTGTGCACCACACAAAAATCTGACTATTACGTGGGAACGGGGTCCGTTGCATGGGATTTTTATGTTTTAAATATCAAACGCTTTCTCATTTTGCTCATTCTCTTTCTCGTCCGATTCTCATCCAAACAGCTCAAAAAATTTTGCTCGGTTTGCCGTGTCTCGTTGACATCTCACTGGCGCTCAGTTTTCCTTCCCGTTAGGCGGCTTGAGCCACCGTGTCACGGTGGACCTTTTTTTTTTCTCTTTTTTTTATTATTTTTGCGACTTGCTGCTGCTGTTATTCGCTGCTGCCTACTGCTGTTGCTGTTGCTGTTTACTGCCTGAAGTTGCCGTCGGAGTCACTGGAGCTCTGTCTCCTCTCAAGCTCACCGTGACACGGGACCAAATCCCTGTGACACATCACCCTCCGCGGCCCAGCTCAACCGTGTCACGGCGGCTGCGCTGACCTTCGAGGTTTTCAAGCTTTTGGAGCTCAAATTTTCACCAATCTTGCTCTAATTTCTTGCTACTTTCCTCATTTTTGACTCTCTACAAGGATCCATGTAAGTTTCCTTTGATTTTTGTCTCGAATTTGCTTCAAATAAGTAATTTCATGAAAAACCCTTAAAAATCAATTTGGGGATTTTTGATTTTGAGGTTTTATGTTGAAATTCTTGCCATGATTTTACTTGTATATGTATGTATGTGTGTTTGTGAGAAATTTGAGACAAAAATTGCATGATTTGATGGAGAATTGAGCAAATCACCATTTTTGGGTATTACTTTTGTGAAATGATGTTCATGTTACTTCTTTGCACTTGAAATTGTGAAAAAATAGTGGTAAACCTTGTGAAATATTTCATGATCTGTTGATTCATTGTTTTTGTGCGACTTCGAAACATATTTTGCGTATGTACTACATTGTCATGGAGAACATAGTACCATGCGGCTAGGAGAACTGCAGTATTAGTTTGTCATGGAGAAACTAAATACCATAATTTCGCCAATTTTTAGCCTGGAGGTAAAAATTTAGCGTATAATTCGATAAATAACTAAATAACATAGGAAATGATGCTAAGTATTTAGATCTTTATTTTTATAAAAATGCAACTTGAATTAAATGTCTTAGGAAATGATGCTAAGCATTTAGATTTTTATAATAGCATGCCTAGGCGACGAGATTGCAATCTTTCTACCCACGGCCGGAGTCGGGCTTTTCGGGAGGACACTCCCACTA